TTTTTTTGTAGTCAAGAAATAACCAGGATTTAGTCCAAACTTTGGACAAATAATTTAAAAACTTAAAAACAAAAGGACAGGCTAGAATTTAACAAAGAATTTGGGTATCCCAATGGAAAAAGGAAACTATTCTATTAGGGAGTCAAATAAAAACGTCATGAAGAAAATTATAGCCTGTTTTTTTGTAGTCAAGAAATAACCAGGATTTAGTCCAAACTTTGGACAAATAATTTAAAAACTTAAAAACAAAAGGACAGGCTAGAACTTAGCAATGGGCCTTTTTTTATTTGGAGATATAATTTTCTCTTTAGTTTCTCATTTTTATTAAAGACAAATCATAGTAGGACCAACTTATTGGTAAAATAAATTTGAGTCTTATTATACTCAGTTTGATTATTGCATAAAGTACAGTAAGAATAGTCATTGGCTATAGGCTTTCTTTTTTTTTAAATTGACTTTGCTGGATCCCTCCTTTTTTAAAGGAATTTCAGGTTACTTAATGGTCTCTTTAGCCAAGCCTATAGATATCTGTATGAATTGGGAAATTCCTCCTTTTCGAGGTCCCAAAGTAAGTTGAGATTTCTGAATCTGTGCTTCATGCTGATTGGCTCTAAATCTAGATTCCCATGACCCCCTGTCCTCACGTTTGCAAAAGCAGTTCACAGAACACAGGGAAACACTGTACTTATGTTTACTCATTTATTACAAAGGATACAGATGAAGAGGTGCTTAGGGAGAGGCTATGTGGGAAGGAGCACAGAGCTTCCATTGCCACCCTCCAGGCCCCTCCATGGGTTTGGCAATCTATCTGTCATTACCTAGGCATGATTGATTACATCACTGGCCATTTGTGATCAACTTAACTTTTAGCACCTCTCCCCTTCCTGGAGGTTGGGGATAGTTAGGGCTGAAAGTTCCAACCCTCTAATCCTGTCCTGGTCATTCCTATGACCAACCCCCATCCTGAAGCTACCTAGGGGCTCTGCCAGCCACCAGTGGGCTCATTAGCATATGCAAGGCACTCTTATTACTCCAGAAATTTCAGAGGTTTTTGGAGCTATATGTCAGGAAACCAGGAAAAAGACTATATACATATTTTACAGTATCACAGTTACTGTCTCAAGGTAACGGGGACATAGTGTTTAAATTTACTGGGATTCAAAGGTATCATTGTAATTTGAGCTGCAGTATTGATTAATTTCATGAAGTTTTGTGAATTGGTGCATCTTAGCTGTGACCTGAGAGACCAAAATACACAGCCCTTTTGTCCCTTTATCAGCTAAGATGGACTCTAAGGTTAAGGAAACAAGTTTTGTCCTGTGGCCGGGGTTTTGGCTCTGCTGTGGTGTGGACTTTCTCTATTTTTCTACGAGAAAAACCCTTGTTTTGTTAACTTCCCAACTTTTGGGGCTTGTCGGGGAATTTTTCGGTCGTTTCTTGCTTTTCTTTTCTACCCCGGCCCCTTCCACTTTTGGTTGGCCGGGGGAGGGGCTTTACACATTCTTTTTTTTTATGCGCCTGTGTAGCTCTCGCGCGTTTTTGCTCTTTTTAGAGACTGTGTGTACGGTGTGTTTTTTTTTCTTTTGGTTCCCTTTTGCCTTAAGGGGCCAATTTTTCCTTCTTTTTATTCTTAAGGCCCCCCCCCCAAGTTGACCTTGGGTTGGTTTTTCCTTTTTTTTTTCCCCTTTGCGCTTCCCTTTGCTTCCCTTCTTCCTTTTCCTTGGTTTTCCCCTGAAGGTTGTTGCTTTTTTTTGCTTTTTTTTTTTATTTTGGCCCTTTTGGGGCTTAAACCCCAGTTGTTTTTTTCTTTTTGCAGGGGGGGGCCCCTTTGTCCACACAGAAGACTGCCTCTCTCCTGTTTGCAAACTGATATTGCCAATAAAGCTCTCCTTTGTACTATTATCCATCCTGGGGGACTTTTAGATGACATAGCAAATGTTAAATGTGGAGGCATAAAAGCCAATCAGCACCCATCTGATCAGCCCCTCCAAATGCTGGATCCCAATCAGGATAGAAAATTAGCAAGCCATGAGCTGTCAAAGGGCATCACCTAGGAACTCTCCACCTCATTTTGAACAATCGCATCCTTGTTGCCAGTTGTATTGTAAATGGTGGAGTGAGTCCCACGGATGGGGTTTTTAAGGATCAATCCAACATGGCTGAAGAAATCACATTTGTAGAGTCATATAAAATTAAAAGATTTATTTCAACTCACAGGTCCTATGGAGGGAGGCATGGCATGCCACACAGGGAGCCATGTAGGAGGAGCCCCCAGAGAACAGGCTCAACTTAGCAGGTGGAGAATGAGAGAGAGTGGACCCCTGGGCAAGTCCAGTACTGGGAATCAAGGAGAAGGACACAAGAAAAAGACATGAGGGGATCTCACTGGTGTGTTTGAATGTCACTAGGTCACAGGGCAGGGCAAGAAGGGGAACCTATGGCAGGGACCAGCCTTAACACACTGGTGCACCTGGTCGCCCAGGGAGGGTCCTCACAACCTGTTTGTGGGATGTCGAGTCATCAGGAAAATATGAAGTTTTAAATTTTTACATTATAACCAAAGATCTTTGTTTTTTGTTACAACCTTGTGTTACTACGTACCACTCTTCCCTTCAACCTGAAGGATTCCCTTTAGTGTTTCTTGTAGGTCAGGTTTAGTGAGAATGAACTCTCTTAGCTTTTGTTTATCGGAGAATATCTTAACTTATCCCGTATGTTTGAAGGACAGTTTAGCCAGGTATAGAATTCTTGGTTCACAGTTGTGTTTCTGTTCAGCACTTTAAAGATATCATCCCACTGCCTTCTGGTCTCCAGTGCCTCTGAGAAAAACTCGGCTGATAATCTTGCTAAGGAACTCTTGTAGGTGAGGACTCCTTCTCTCCCGCTGCTTTCAGGACTTTCTCTTTCACTTCAGCTTCAATAGTTGGATGATAATGTGTGCTAGTGTAGGTTTCTTTGAGTTAATCCTACTTTGGGTTTGTTCATCGTCTTGAATTTGTAGATTCATGTATTTTATCAGGTTTGGGAAGATTTGGGATTTTACTTCTTCAAATAATCTTTCGCTCCTTTCTCTCTGCCTCTCTTCTTCTTGTGCTATTCTCATAACGTGTATGTTCGCCCACTTGTGATGTCCCACGAGTCCCTCAGATTCTGTTCTCTTTTCTTTATTCTTTTTTCTCTTTCTACACTGTGGACTCAATCATTTTAAACATTCCATCTTCCAGTTTACTGATTCTTTCTTCTCCCCGCTCAAATCTGTTATGGAACTCCTCTAGTGAATTTTTCATTATTCTGCTTTTCAGCTCCTAAATTTCTGGTCACTTCTTTCGTATATTTTTATGTCTTCACTGATGTTCTCATTTTGATAATACTTCTTTTTCCTGATTTCCTTTAGTTCTCTGTTCTTGTTTTCCTTTAGCTCTTCGAGGGAACTTAAAGATTGAGCATGTTTAAGACATTTGTTTGAAAGTTTTGGTCTAGTATCAGAGTAGGCAGAATATATCACAAGGGCCCTTATAAGTAAGAGTAAGAGTTAGAGAAGGACTTGTGCTGGTGGCAGCAAGGGGTTGGAGTGATGGGAAGATGGAACTGTGAGAAAAGGAATGTGGGAAGCCCTTAGAATACAGAAAGGAAAGGAACAGAGCCTCCAGAAGACATGTAGCTTTGCTGGTATCTTTTTGTATTGTATATATTTAAGGTGTACAACATGGTGCTTTGAAACACATCTACATAGTGAAATGGTTACTATGGACAAGCAAATGAACATACACATCATCTCATATAGTTACCCTTTTGTGTGTGTATGTCAAAAGCACCTAAAATCTAATCTATTAGCAAAAGTAGTGAGCACAGTACCATATTATTAACTAGAGTCCTCATGTTGTACATGAGAACTCTAGACTTCTTCATCGTACCTATCTGCAACTTTGTCTTTTGACCTACATGTCCCTATCTTCTTCCCCAACCTACTCCGGGTAACCAGTTTTTTTCTCTATTTCTGTGTATTGACTTTTTCTTTTCTTTTCTTTTTTTGCTTGATTATAGCATAATAAGTCAGACCTATTTTGAACTTTTGACCTTCAGAACTATAAAATAATAAATGTCTCTTGTTGTAAGCCATTAGGTTTGTTATAATTTGTCACAGCAGCATTACGACCGCAAATATAACATGATTCTTCTATGGAGATAAAATTCCAAAGGCTTATAACAATGTCGTATTCCTTATGTAAGCTACATGTAAGGTCATCGTGCCTTGGGAGTTCTGGATGTCACTCTCTCTGAGGAATCCAAGCTTATGGAGCAAACCAGATCGAGACCTTGTGGGTGTCTGTGGAAGGGAGAAGTTGATCCACAGAGGCTCTCGCAGTTACATGTGCAGCCCACAAACTAAACCTATCACTTCTGCTCACCACTCAATGGTCTAAAGGAATCTCCTGGCCACTCCCAATGCAATGGTCCAGAAAGTGGAACACTCCATGTGGCCAGAAAGTGGACAGGCACAAATACTGGGTGAAGCATGACACTTCCAGAGAGGGCTCAGGAGGTCCACTCAGGTGCTCAAACCCACGCTCTGTTATGAAACTTAATCTCTTATTACAAATGCGGACACTGTAACACTCGCTTGTGTTCAGGATTTTTGTGAGGCTTAAATGAGATAATACATGCAGTGTGCTGAGCTCAAGGCCTGCTCAGGGTGTGCACCCAGTCAGTGGAAATCAGTGTTGATAAATGCTTGAGAAACGTACAGGATCACGTGGGAGGAATAAATGGCTGCTCTGTGTTTCCCTCCAGGGGCGGCAGGAGAGGAGGAGCTGCAGGTGCTTCAACCTGACAAGTCAGTGTCAGTGGCGGCCGGAGAGTCGGCCATTCTGCGCTGCACCGTGACTGCCCTGGTCCCCGTGGGGCCCATCGAGTGGTTCAGGGGGACTGGGC